TCTTTTTTTTTTTTTTTAGTGTGAGGTTTTTTGAAGCAGTTCTAATATGCCTGCTATATTACTAAAAATGCACTCCTTCATTGGTTTTGGTATAGATCTAAAAAATGTCATATTTTCAGTTACTGCTTGTAATAATAATTATTTATGGTAAGACAAAGTATGAGCTTAATGGCAGCATTTTGAGAGTGTCCTGTTTCTGTTTCTTTGTTTACACTTGACTGGTGCATTCTATATATATATATTTTTGTCCCTTCTAAAACTATCATAGGGGAGCCTGGGTGGCTCAGTCTTTAAGCACCTGCCTTTGGCTTAGGTCATGATCTTAGGGTCCTGGGATGGAACCCTGCATTGGGCTCCCCGCTGGGTGGGAAGTCTGCTTCTCCCTCTCCCACTGCCCTTGCTTGTGTTCCCTCTCTCACTGTGTCTGTGTCTGTCAAATAAATAAATAGTCTTAAATTTAAAAAAATAAGATAAGAGTATCATAATTTTTTCAGGTGAAAGACTAAAATAATTTCCATTGTCACTATCATTTAAAAGCACATCTTAAAGAGGTGTTATTCCATGACATTAGGTCAGAGAGAATCATGAGTGATCATTATGGAAAGAAAATGAAAGTATCATGGTCAACATAAGATATGATTGTATAATGGAAACACCCACATTCAACTGAAAGGAGAATACTTTTTTTAGATAGTTTAGATAAGTGAAAAGACAAATCACATTCTTAGATAGGTAAAGTCACAGTGGTAAAATTTAAATGTTAATTAAAGTATCCAGAGGATTTTTTTTTTTTAATTTGTATATGTGCTGCTGAGGAAAGGACACTGAATTTGAAGAATGTTCCTAAAGTACCTGGGGGTGAGGGGTGGGATGGAGGGGTGGGATTGTGACTGTGAAAATAACCATTAAAATAGCAAAAAAAGAAGAGGGATAAAACAACCCTATATAGAAAATGATATAGAAAACAACAATATTTGAAATATTTCCATTGTAATTTGTCTAGAAATATACCCAGTGCATGTTAGAAATATGTATTTGATTATATTAACATTGCAAATCATAGAGGAAATATGACTATGTCAGTCATTAATAATGACAATACATAAGTAATTTGGAAAAAATAAAAAATTAATTCCAGATAAATCAAATATTTAAACATAAAAATAAACCATAATAGCTTAGGAAAAATAAGCTTTTAATGTAATTTTAGATTCAGGCAAGCCTAAGCAGGATACAAAATCCTGAAACTATGAAAGAAATGACTAACAAATTTCATTACATAAAGATTTAAAACATCTGTATGATACAAATAATAAAGAGAGCTGAAAGTACAAACTTTATTTTGAAATACTATTTCTAACACATTATAAGCAAAAATTTAATGTTTTTTACATGCAAAGAGTTCTTAACAAATTAATAAAGACAAAGAACGAAGTGGAAATAGAGAAAGGATCTATTTAGTTAATTTACAGAAAAAGAAACAAATGACCATCAGTGTAAATTTTCAAATATCTGTATCTTTCATTTACTTCAGAACATTTAAATTTTGGAGTTTTAAAATTTCAAAAGATAGGGCAGTTTATCTATTGGATCTGTGAAAGAATTTCACAGAAAAATTTCACATGTAAATATGTCTTTTCCTTTGAGAAATATGCATAAAGAAGACTTGATATATTCTATTGAAGAAGTGTGTTTTTAAAATCTGCCTGATTTTTTTCTTCCCTTCCTCTCCCACTCCCTGCCTTTTTTGTTTGTTTGTTTGTTTGTTTGTTTTCCACTGTTTTGAACTGCAAATGATGTATGTGGTGCTTGTAATAATGTAAATATTTTTAGTGGTATTAGTGGTGGCAAATTTTTAAAAAAATAGTCATTATTGACTTTGGCCAAGAATTTCTTACTTGATAACTATGCAGATAACTCAGGAATCACGGTTTATGGTTGCTGAAAGTTTTAGACTATTTATTTTAGTAGGCATGGAAATGAAGTTCACAATCCTGCCATTTTAAGTGTAGCAGAACCATAATTCTGGAGAGTGTCCAAATGAAAAGTAAACATAATTATAAAGCAGAAGCAAATTAGCATTATTATCACTTATGAAAAATCCCAAACTATCTTGTTTGTACTTAAACATAGGTATAATGATTCACTTTCAGATAACTCTTGGCATTACCTTGAATGGAAATTTTATTTGATACAGGAGAAAGCTCTATTTTGCTTCTTCCCACTTTGATGAATACATAACCAGGCAAAAAGATCTTATCTTTCCTAATAGCTACTAATTGCTTTTTACAAAATATTTCCACCACATAGTACTTATTTGAGTACACATTTGTGTGTATATCAAATGTACAAGTATGTGTGTGAAAGATACAATTATTAAAATAGGCCTATTGGTCTGTTGCTGTTTTTTCTTCCCCACAGTTTTGATCATCAGGATCACAGATCTCCTGTTTTCAGGAGTTATTTTATTTCCACAATAAAAGTATAACATTTTTCTTGGAAACTTTTTTGCTTCTTTTTTCCCTTTCTTTGTCATCATAGACAATATTAGGATATAGAATATAACCACACATTTCCTCAAACTTGCATTGATTTTTTTGTGAAAAAATGTTAGATATTGTTTTATGCCCTGAATCTCGGTAGAATTGCTTATAAATTTTGAACACATCTCCTTTATGAAAAATAAGACAAAAAATAATATGTATGACAGTCTTTATAATCACTTAGCCAAAACATTGTTAGGAAAATATTCCATCCATTAAAATTATAACAAAGATACTTTGATGGAAATCATAATGTTTTGAATAAACCTTAACAACATCTATGTACTTGCGATTGGAAAACACATTCAGCTGTGAACCACTGTAATGAATTTGTTTCTCGTCAACAATAAAAACATTTTCAAGAAAACCTACGAGTTAAATTGCTTGATCTCATACATTAGATTATTAACATTCATATTAAATTACAATGCTCAAGAAACAAAAGCAATCTCAGTGCAATTTTAGAAATTTAATGTTTTTTATTTTCACCAAAATTTAGATAACTACATAAGAAAGTGCAGAAACATAGGCTCTGAGCACATTTTATATACTGAAGAAAGATGAATTATAACTAGTATCTTTTCCTTTTTCAGTTCTAATATTGAAAGAGAACGAAGCACTAATGACCAAAGGCATCCTTTGTGTTACATGGATCAACTTCTTTCCTAGACACCATCCCTGTGACAATAAGGAAAATAGTCAAACAGTTTCCAATATTCTGTGGTTCAGATGAGATTGAGACTGTATACACATATCATATGCCACACATACAAACATCTCACTTAGAAGATGCACAAATCACACACCTATGTAGTAAATATATATATATATATATATATATATATATACACGTATGTGTACATGCATGTACATGTATACACATTCAAATATGCATCTGTCTGTAAACATATGCATTATATCTATGTACACACATATGTATATAAAATATGTATATATGTATGTGTGCATACATATATCTTTTTCTATATACGTTGGTGCATGTATTTAATAAAATGTGGGGTAGAATAGTCATTCTTCAAGTACTAGTAGATGTATAGTGGTAGTTTGGGGATCTAAAGCAAGTGTAGTATTAGATTAAGAATGTACAGAGAGAGTAACTAAATAACAAATTTTCTCAGGACAATATTTGTGACTGGTATTAACTAGATATTAACTAAGTGTGTTGCCTTTAGTTAGCTTAAAAAATTTCTTGAACACATGGTAGACTATAAAGTTGATGGGATCATTGACTGAAGCTGAGAGTTATCCATAAAAATGGACATTACCTCTGTATTGCATCAGCTCCAATGCATACTATAGATTGATTGTTCTGCCTCCCTGATGGCCAGAATGCTAGGCATAAATGGCAAGGACTGGCTTTGGTACCACAGATGGGGTGTTGGATAATGACCTCAAATGCTACTTGGAGAATTAATTGTGTGGCTGAAACTTTAGAGGTGAGGCAAATCTGGGTAGGTTAGAGACAGTCGAATTTGGGGTCTCTGGGCTGCTTCCATCTGTCTGAGTAAAATAATCACCTGCTCCATTGGTCAAAACACTTCTGTTTTTCTAATAAGTCATTTTTAAAAAAAGCATAAAACAACTATTTTATAATACACTAAAAGTGAATCCTCTAACATTTTACTCTGGTAGTGGATTTAGAAGCTTTGGAGTTTTTAAATGGTATAGGATATTTAGAAAAATGTGTGCCAATTCAATTAGTAGACATTCCCTGGACATTTAGACATGTCATAATAATTTAAATCTGAAAGAAATTTAAAGTGTATTTCCTAGGGAAAAAAATCTATAATTTTTATTTGCCAGAGTGCTTTTTCTAAAATGTTTGAAGTTGTTGAGAGGTGATTTTTCTGTAACTTGTTTTACTGTTCAAATCCAATTTATTTTTGCCCTGTTATTTTTCTCCCTGGATTTTTTAGAAGTCAGTTTTGGACCATTTGATAGTACTATAATAAGAACCTCACTTCCTATGGTGTAATCGACTCTCAGTTTGACAGTTCAACAAATACACAATGAGAGTCCACTGCTTGGCAAGAGCAGTGATATTTATTTTTCTAAGGAAAATGCTTAAGCCTGAGTGTATATAACTCTCCATCTGTTTATTTAGAAATATATTCCTTTGTCACTGTGACTATATTGATAATTTTCCTTTTACATGGTAGGCTTCAGGAAAACAGGAATTTTATCCTACGGCTTATAGTCCTCTTTTAGGGGTATTTTAGGGTAATTTGATAAATATAAATTATTTTTGAAGTCTTTTGTGACAAACTAGCATTTTAATATAGCGTTTTTGAAGATAAAGTTTTAAATTTGTAAATTTAGTGAATGTATCTGCAAATGTTTTTCTACTCTGTAAGGACTATTTCTAGTGGAACTATTGTGATATTTGCAGAATCTGTTTCTTATTCTGAAATTTGTGTTTATTTTTGTTTTTTTCAGTCTCCTGAACAACAACCAAATCAGACAGATTTCCAGAAATGCTTTTGAAGGACTTGAAAATTTGCTTTATCTGTAAGTTGCAAGAAAGGACAAAAATAACTTACAGTGTTGATAGATTATTTTTGCCTTTTTGTTTGTTTTAACCAAAGTAATTCTTCATCTTCTCGAAAACTACTGTCAACATTTACACAAAACACATTTGAAGATTTCTAAGTGAGGTCAATTGTTGCTTTCAACAGATTACTCATCTGAGCACATTAGAATATTTATGCACATTTTTATTCCCCCATCACTGCCACAAAAATTCTAAATTGGAGAAAAATAAAAACAAAAACCATTTGCCCAATGTTCACATTCAAATCTAATTAATTGATAATTATAAAAATTGTATAGATGAAAGATAAGATTTTTATATCAACAACTCAGCCATCCAAGAACTTCTGAAGCCAGTGAACACATTACAACTAGGAACTTTAATGAACATGAATAAGAACCAAATTTTGGAAAAATTTGTTCACAAATATGACCAATGACAATTGTTGTACTCTTTTGTTTATAACAAGTAAATGAGAATAAAGGTACTTTAAATATTTTGTTTATTTTAGAGAGAGAGAGAGAGCATGAGAAGAGAGAGAGCACTCGAGAGAAAGAGCAAGAGAGAGAGAGAGAGAGAGAGAGCAAGCAAGCAAAGTTGAGGGTAGGGGGTAGTTGAGTATCAGGCTCCTCATTGAGCAGGGAGCCAGACACAAGCTTGATCCCTGAACCCTGGGACCATGACCTGAGCTGGAGGCAGATGCTCAACTGACTGAAACACCCACGTCTCTGAGAATAAAGGTATTTTAAATGAGTCCTTGTTTTGACTCAGAAACCAGTCCATGCTGGTAGGTTGAAAGTTGGGAGGTCAGGACTGACACTTATGTGGAGGCTGAAGGAAGAAACTAGGACATTTGTCTAAGCACAGAGTGAGTGCTGCGAGTTTCCTTCTGAGGTAACTAACATTTTTACACAAATATGCCCATTTGTACTTCATTAAGTAACCTATTTTTGTGTCAAAAATCGGTTACTCTGGGACGCCTGGGTGGCTCAGTGGGTTAAGCCGCTGCCTTTGGCTCAGATCATGATCTCAGGATCCTGGGATCGAGTCCCGCATTGGGCTCTCTGCTCAGCGGGGAGCCTGCTTCCCTCTCTCTCTCTCTGCCTGCCTCTGTCTACTGTGATCTCTCTCTGTCAAATAAATAAATAAAATCTTTAAAAAAAAATCGGTTACTCTTTTAAAGAAAAGATGCTACCCTAGCCCTTTGGTTCCTATTTCATTTCTACAATGGTCACATCATCTTTCTGAAACACTGGAATTCATAATACACCTCAGCTCTGTAGCCTTACAGCATTTTGTGTTCAAATGAGATACCCCAGCCTACTAAGCAAGACCTTCTATGGCTTTTTTTTTTAAATTTAAGTTTTATTATTATTATTTTTTTTATCACTCAGTCCTAAAGTGATAGGACTGGTTCCTTTTTGGAATTGGTACATTCTATTTGCTGTCCTAATTGTTCATGACCAACTTAACATGCCTAGCAGGTGCATGTCAGTTTTGGTTTCCACTGAGAAGCATTGCTAAGAACGCTTCAAGCTTTCTTGACTGGTGGTGTGAGAAATCTGCTCCTTGTAAATGAAGGAGCTGTACCCCCCTGCATTTCACTGCAGGCCTGTGGTTCTGTGGTTCTTTACTCATTGGCATGTAAGGAGTATCACTCTTACAGTAAAATAAGCAAATTAATAAAAAAAAACCCATAAAACAAAAAACTTTATAACTTTGTAAATGGTGGCTTAGAAGAAACCTCATTACTACAGTAATATTCAATGAAAGAATCTAGTAAAATGACAGTTATTAGCAAGAAATTATTTTGGATAAAATGAACATTCAACATTGCTATGGCTTGGATCAATTACATGGCCAAGTGTACTATCAGCTCTGTGTAAGAAGCATTTAACAAAACTTCCAGTAATTCTCTAGCCAGTTCACACACTATTCATTAAGTGAAAGATACAACTCTCCCGTAAGATGTACATTTAGGAAAGGGGAAGGATAATTTATAAATGTTTCATTATGCGATATGTTGTGAACATGTTCATGTGGCCACTGAAGTAAATCTTTCCATATTTTCAATAACATTGGCAAGTAAGGATTACATCCCAAATCAGAGAAGTTCATAGAAAAAAGAAGGTTGTAGGCTACAAGACCTATTCAATGCAGACAACACCTGTCTGGATGAGAAGAAAATAGAATTATAAGGTTTAAAAGAAAATGTCAAGGTCTGAGGCAATTAAAGATGGCCTAACTCTGTCACTTTGTGTCAATTCAATAATATTTTAAGATTAAGCTGACCATCCACTATCATTCTGTGAGCTGATCTAGTGAAAATGCTTGGAGAAGACATGAACTTTTGGGGGATAGGGTTCACAAATACTCTGAAATATGGTTGTATTCATTATTTTGGTGGTCTGTGGTGATGTTGGGATAGGCAGTGGAGATGGGGAGGATGGTAGTGTATGAAGATGAAAAGGCATGAGTAATGTCCATATATGTGTTTGAAGGACAAAGATACACATGCTTATAGGACAATAGGTTTTATTATATGGGCACATATGAGTTGTGGTGGTGTCAGAACAGAAGGGAGGCCAATTCTGCCTCCTAGTGTGGTGGGCAAGTTAGACTTCAAATAAGGGGGTGTTTAGGAATTATTGGATCATTGACAAAACTAAGAACTATCAATGTTGACATCTTTGTTATGCTATCAGTTGCAGAGCATACTAAGTTTTGTTGTCTTGCCCTACTTTGGCCAGAAAAATTAAACATGACATTGAGGAAAATAATATACAAAAAGCATTCACAGAGACAATTCTGAGTCTGAGATTGCATGTGTTGTTTTGAGCACTGAGTGCAGTAGGAAGGATGGAGTGAGCTGTGACTGGGAGATAAGGGGTCATACCAGAAAGGCCTTTCCACAGGAAGCTAGATGGTGTTGTGTCAGGGAGAATTTACAGGGGAAGGGTATGGTCACCTCTGTGGTTTGGGAGAGGCCAGTCTGGGAGAAGGGACAGGTTTGCTTGAGGCAGAGACTCAATGGTAGGAGGCTATGCCAATGTCTCCTGAATGGCCATGCATGATGACAGCCTGGACAGGACTCTGCAGTAGGACTCCAGAACAGGAGAAAGATTATTTCTCCTCCTCCTCCTCCTCCTTCTCCTCCTTTTCTGAAGTTTTTATTTTGTTTTGTTTTTTAAATTTATTTGATAAAGGGAGAGAAAGCACACACAAACAGAGGAAGGGGCATAGGAATAGGGAGAAGCAGGCTATCTGCTGAATGGGGAGCCCGACACAGGGCTCAATCCCAGGATCCTGGGATCATGAGCTAAAGATGAATGCAGACACTTAACCATCTCAGCCACCTAGGTGTTCCTGAAGAGAAATTTTTTTATGTAGATTTGTTTAATGACTTTATGGCAAAAGAGAGGGAATGTCTGCTCTTCTCATAGAAAATCCCCATTTCTGTCTCAGTCTGTGCCATTAATACTCCAGCCTCCTTTCACTGTCCTGGGAAACTTCCTGGGCCACCCGCATACTCATACTTTCCTAAAAGCTTCCCACTCCTCCACAAATCTAGTTTTTATTTTCTACCTGATTTTCTGAATCTTTGGATGGATCACTCATAGGATTTACTCTGTAATTTGACATTTAATTTTATTTAGCGTTATTTCCACTTCTCTGCCTACATGTATGTATGTTGAGGTCTCCATGGCCACATACTTGAGAATCAGGGTCTTGCTTGTATTTCTGTCCAGTTCATACAAAGTTTCAGACACAATTCTCTGCTTCCCCAAACTCGCGTGCTCCTTCAGCACACATCTGTTTCCTTTTCAGTAAATAGCAGCCTTATTCTTGAGCTGCTTGGCATGATGCTTAGGTTCTTCCTTTCTCATACGCTACTTGGGCACACTCTGTTCATTCCAATCCTAAAATATTTCTAATTTGGTCACTTTCTCCATCTTTCCTGCATCTACCCTAGTGTGAGCAGTCATTATTTCCCTGCTTCACATTTCATTTTAATAAAAGGGCCACTCCCTATTTGGCCTGTAAGTCCTAGCATGGTTTTTGATCCATCCATGCATGTAAATCCATCTCATGTCTTTCTTTCCTTTGCTTTTTATATTTGATCCATTGTTCTTTAATTTCTCCAAACACAGTAAGTGCTCAGCCCCCAACCTCCATGGGCTGTCACATGCTGCTTGTTGGATTTTCCTTGGTGATCTTCTGTCTTGTTTCAGCTTTAATGTCATCTCCCTAGGACTCCCTCTAGGCCAAATAACACCTGCCTCCTTTTTTCTTTATCAGTGTGCCCTGTTTATTTCATTTATCATGTCTACCATAATAGTTAATGTTATTCCCCTTATTTTTTTAAATGTGTTTTCTGACTTCTCACTGGATTCTCTGAAAGCAATTGGCCATACTCCTCTTACCACATATCCCATCATCTACAACATAGGAAGTAAGTGCTCTTTAAATATTTGTTTACTAAATAGGAGAACATAAGGCAATCAATAAATACTTGATATTTGACTGATTAATGCTTTTAGTTACGCTGAGTTCATTATTTCTTGAAAAGCGAGATTTAAACACATTAAATGCATTTAGCGTTAGCTTTTTCAGCAACGTGTATCAATCAGTTATTTATATCGTGCCTTTTCCCAAGGATTTCAGGTGTTTGTATTACATAAAGTATTTTTAGTGCATGTATATTCAGGAGGTTAATTTTTATTAGACCAGATATGCCACAGGATTGGTTTTGCCTTGCCAAACACAAAAGAGAGCACATTATTTTTCCTTAAAACAAAAGCATTTCTGAACTCTTCTGAAATTCTAATGTATTTTGGTCTAAAACGTATCATTGATTCCCTTGGGCAAAAACAAATTGAAAATTGCAGGACAAATTTGCTTTCAGATTCACAAGGAAGAATAAACCAGTTGAGGAGATCTTTGGAAACCAGTTCATTTAAGGTTAGCTGAATTTTGG